CTAGACACCTATTGCAGGTGAGTGAGGGTAGACAATGCAGTAGTACCCGCGCAAAGTCTACTTTCACTAAAGGCTAAGTTAGCCGCTGTTTCGGCTTGCATGTGGAAAGCAGCCTACGCTGTAACCTGTTTAGTGTTCGAGATTCCAGGTGAAGGTGAAGAGTGCGGAGCCGCTAACTACGTCCTCTATCACTTTAAAGCTAATACCTGAGACTGTCAACTTCTGTACTAGCCTTTTGGTGCACTTTGTGGACTTCATCGAAATCAATGGTCGAACACACACTGTCATGGCAACCGCTATTTAGGAGTTTCGATTGTTAGTCGCATTGACGTCTCGCTTGGCACTTGTATACGACTGTGCAGGGTGCTGTCAGTGTATAGCGTATTTCTTGTCACGAGTATTGGGCGTGTTTTCATCCACCCAGAAGATCGGTTAAGGCAAGCGGCATTGTAATCAGCTTCAGCGTCCTACAGGATCTGCTGTGTCAACTTAATCTAGCCCTCCTCCCGCTAGTTCTATTTTCGGGCTAATACAGTGTCTGGTTTGTTTGTTTGTTTGCTTGCTTGCTTGCTTGCTTAAGTGAATGGGTGCCTATGCTGCCAGCCTCGGAGGACCGCTGAGTAACGAATTTAATCCCCGCCCGCCTACAATAGTTTCCTTTCCGGCTACAGCTGGTCCATAACAGCTTACATATTCCCATTAAATTTCGGGTTAGGCCTAGAAGGGCTTTTTTCGGAAGGATTTAACGAATTTCCGATGCGCCTGCACAACTGGTAGTTAACGTCTGCGAAGACATTTTCGCCTAATGTAGTGTTTTTTGTAGCATGCTCTTTTTTATTGGTAATGCTGACCCTCTAAACGATGACCATGTGGAGGGATGAGGGTCACATCCTTTTGGTACTCGCTTAGCTGTCTGCGCTGTGCTGCACTGATCATCGGCGTGCGCTGACACTCCTCCTGACTAGCGCAACCAGCTTGACTCGCGAACGATCCTTTGGCATTGACGTCAGTTGATCACTCCGAGCGA